ACGAAGAAAAAGGTATTCACTTGTTGGTATTGTTGTTTTGTTGTTTGTCCCTCCTGAAGGGTTTCTGTGAACGCCGGGGTGTCACACGGTGCTTTTGGGCAATGTGGCAGGGAGAGGCTGAGCCACAGCAACGCACTGGCCGTCGCGTTGGCGTTAAGCCAACTGAGTGGCGTTAGATAAGGGGGAAATTTGTGTCTTCCCTTTTTTTGTTCGGCACCCCATCGGTTGCGCGCGCTCTGTGGTGCGGCAGCCGGGTGGTGCACGTCGCGGGGGTTCATTTTTGTATTGTGTTTTCATCTGAACAGGCCTATTTTTGATTTCTGCTCACTTTCTTTTCATGTCGTAGGCGATGGCGATGGCGAAACGTTTGGGGGCTTGTGCGGGTGCGTGGGGTACCGCGGCAGTCTTGAAGGCTTGCTGTAGGGGGCGGCCGTGTGCGGCGGAGGGCTAATTCGCACACCGATGCTGGTGGTGGGAGCGGTGGCAAGCGTAGCGGGGAGAGGCGAGGGTGGGGAGAAGCAGCAGACGGCGGCAATGCGTGAGTGACGTGCAGCATTAAAATATTCCTTCTTCTGTGTGGGGCTCACTGGGTGGCGCGGTAACCGCAGAGTGAGGCCGCCGCTTCCGCTCTTGCAGAGGGGAATATGCTGCTGCATTCCTGCCATGCCCCGCCCTTCCACGTGACAGCAAAGCCGACGCCGCCGGCACGCTGAGAAGCTGCGGGTTCCACCGCCACGGCGACTGAAGTAGGCGGAGGTGTGTCTGCGGCTGCCTTCGCAGGCTGTGCCCCGTGCGGCCCAGTCGTGTGGCAAACAGTTCCCTCGCGGAATCCACGCGCACCGCGCCACGTGCTGGGCGCAGCGTATATTTGCGTCGCGGGGGCCAATGCGGTGGCGTCCCTCCTCCTTCTCGGGGATGAACGAAGAGGCAGCGGGTGTTTTGCTTCTTTGCACCTCAGCGAATTGCAGAACAAAATGCCACCGTGACGGGGCAGTCAATTTCACTATGAGTGGGTGATATTTGCGTGTGACTACACACACGCAGAGCTGTGGGGATCCGAATGTCAAGTGCAATACGAGAAGAGGAGAGAGACCTCGTCGCAGTTGTTGTGTATGCCGTGCAGTTTGCACGGTTTGCCCAGGGAGATCTAATTTGCCCTCGTTGTTTGTGTGGGAGGGCGCCGTGATGCATCACGCTTGCGTTGTGTGCGGGATTGGGGGTGCCTGTGCGTGTTTGTGTGTGAGGTGTGCGCCGCGTGCCGTGTGCGTGGGTGGCCCTCTTTTTTTTTGTTGTTGCGGCTGCGTAGACTCGTGTCTCTGTCTGTTTTTTTAAATAATTTCATTCTCCCTTTTGACTGCTGGTTGAGTATTGTGCTGCAGTTCAACTCAAGTTAACCACCACGAAGGAAAACTTGTCTGAGAGACGCGAGGCGGAATTTCACCCCACCGAGGAGACCACCGCACAGCGTCGAAGGGTGGAAGGAGCGCCGCAACAGCCAGGGTGGGCGCTGTCGAGTTCTCTCCGCGACGCATTGCTGGGATAAGTTGGCCAAAACAACACAATTTTGCTGAACGAGACTTCCCTCAAAAGTATGTTGACACCAGCGGCTCCACTGGTGAAAATTACGAACGCGTCAATGGGTCTTTCCGCAGGAGCCCGCACTGTGCTCCGTAAGCTCGCGTGCATCTTCATTTTTCCCCTTATGGCTGTGTAAGGTGGCAAATCAAGAATTTCCCCACGAAGCACCGCGTCCGTAACGTACCTGTCTGGCCCACGCACAAACACCTCCATCACCACATTTTGGCTTTCACCCACCGCTCTGTTGGGGCCAACGTACTGCCGAAGGAAGTCGTTCAGCAAAATTCCGTTGCTTTGGCCAACTTATCCCAGCAATGCGTCGCGGAGAGAACTCGACAGCGCCCACCCTGGCTGTTGCGGCGCTCCTTCCACCCTTCGGCGCTGTGCGGTGGTCTCCTCGGTGGGGTGAGATTCTTCCTTATATATCCATCCGACATGTTTTCCTTGAACTTGTTGTCCTTTGTAGTGATTGTTGGCTTAAGTTGTAAAGCAATACTAACCACTAGCCAAAAAAGGGAGAATGAAAAAAAAAGCCAAAAACATGCACAAACACGACCCTACGCAGCCACAACAAAAAAACAAAGAAAAGGCCACGCACACCTCACGCACACACACGCAGAGGCACCCCCAATCCCACACGACGGCAAATCACAGCCATATTTACTTTACACTCCGCTGAAGGCAGAGCATCCACACTGCTCGAAGACAGGCCACTCTGTCCATTACTCCCTTTCCAGCGCCACCCATGAACCTTCACCCAAAACATCGTGCGGCATAGGCGGGAAACATCACGATGCCTGCGGAGGGTCACCGCCAAACAAAGACGCGGCCCCACCACGTGCCCATGACGACGTTTCGTCCTCATCGCAGAAAAAAGGGTGTGTGCGTATGTGTGACGGC